CAAATTAAATTTAGTATCAAAAATATTTTAATACTTATATCTTAAAAAAACATTTCAGAAAAATAGAAATAAGAAAATAGCAGTTGGAAGAGACCAAATATCACACTAGTTTAAGTAATAACAGTTAGTCGTATGTATCACATAATTTAATATTTTAAAAAATATTCTCCTACACTTTTTAATGAAAATTATTATACTGTGCAACTAGTCTCTTGCATTTGTAATGTTAAAAATTAGTCATTAAAACTAAAAGTTATCAATTCTTTTAATATTTATTATTAAAAATTAAAATAAAATAACAAAATAATACTTTCTCGTGTTAAATAATAAATTTAATTTCTTTTATAAATAAAATAACATTGTTCTAAATTTTTTTAAATAGTTTATTTTTTATTTTTGACTTTTGAAAACTTCTTACTTTTACTCCTATGATAATTAAACTAAAAAAATACTAGCATAGTGAAGTTATTTGCATTACTGTTTTTGAGAACCACACCACCTTATCTGGAATTATCTTTTTCATTTCACATTTTCTTAATCCTTTCCTAATCCAAATCGAGTTTGATTCACTGATAAAGAAACTCCTCTCCACCTTGATGCTCATATCCTCAATGCATGCTCTAAGTGGTCTTGTCATCTTCCTTGTCAATCCTTTATACTGGATAGGGAACTGCTCGGTCCCATATTTAGAAAAAATAAATTGAATACCTATTCGGCTTAGTTTGGCCAGATACTTAGTTATCAAGATTACAAGGTAATTGACCCGATTAAGAATAATAATCAGAGTATTATTGACATTAACTAAAAGATCAAAATTAAGGTTGACTCAGTAGGCCCATTAGCCCGTAATAATGCCTATAAAAGGAAGGTAGGAAGTACAGGTAAAGGGTTGACTTTCATTATTAAATAGCATTTATTGCTCAGAACCGAATCCTGACTTCAACATCGGAGTGCCTTTTGCAGGTACCATCCCCACGTCAGCAACAGCCAGAGAGACGTCATCACTGCAGATTAGAGACTTGAAGATTAGTGTTTCCTAAGCAGGAACATTTTGGCGCGCACCGTGGAGCCCGATTAGCCTCATTTTTTAGATTAATTATGGTACTAACGAGAAGCCAGCAGGAAGGACATGCTCAACAGGGAGGAACCTCTCGGTAACAGTGGGAGGGTGTCACACCTGATGAACCAACACCTGAAGTTGTGATGCAAGGAGGAACCGACGAGAGCCTCTTAGCTGTACTAAGACAGCTCAAAACAGAAATGATGGAGATGAAGAGGGAGCGAGAAAAGGATGCCTTGGAGCTCTCGGTTCTAAGAAGGGAAAATGCTAACTTGAGAGAAGAAATAAGAACACACATCTCTTCCCAGACTACACCCATCGTCCAGGATCAGGGGGAGTCCTCGGCATTGCAGGAGAAATCAAAGCAGATTTATCAATCTGAAGCTAAAAATAACCGAGACGATCTTACGAGCAGAAGCTTATTCGTTCACCATATTTTGGAGGCTAAGTTACCCGACAACTAGAGAGGCTTAACAATAGAAAAATATGATGGCACAACTGACTCTGGAGAACATTTGGATGTCTTCACAACCCAAGTTGGTCTGTATACTGAGAACGATTCTTTATGGTGTAGGATTTTTCCCACCTCACTCCGAGGACCAGCCCTCAGTTGGTTTACCCGACTCCCCCCTTCATCCATCAACTCTTTTGCAACCCTCACAAGACGGTTCAGCTTGTAGTTTGCCACAAGCGGACCTCACCTATTAACATCCCTGGCGCTGGTCAATATTCGGCAAGAAAAGGAAGAATCACTTAGAGCATTCATGGAACGCTTTGGTAAAGTGACCCTTTCGATTCATAACTTGGAACCAGTAGTGGCTATGCACCACCTCACAACGACCCTTAAGCCAAGACCTTTTGTTAATAGTATTTGCAAAAAACCACCAGCTGATTTGGACGAATTAAGGAGTCGGGCAGCGAAGTATATGCAGATGGAAGAATTAGCCGAGTACCGAAACCAAATTCGCATGGACCAGGGGCCCAATTCAAAAAACATAGATAAGAAAGAAACTTTCAAACCTCGACAAGAAAATAAAAGAAAGGATGAGCCTGAGAGGCTGCCTAGAGGACCCAAATACCCCTCTTATACCACACTCAACGCCAATAGATTTAGGGTACTTGATCAGGCTTTAGCAACGTAAATCTTGCCGATATCATCATAACAGAGGCCATATGACAGAGGAGTGCATCGCCCTAAAAGATAAAATAGAAGATTTGATTAAAGATGGGCACTTGAGAGGATTTGTTCAAACAGATCCCACCGGCTACACCGAAAGGGGAATGAGAGATCAGTATCCCTAATCCTTAAGAAGGTACGAGGATAAGCAGCCTGAGAGACAGCGAAGTCGGTCAAGAGAGCCTCCTGTAAGAAGATTTGATGAACGAGAAAAATACCCAAAAAGGGTGATCAACACCATAGCTGGTGGGTTCGCAGGTGGAGGACCCACTCATTCGGCTAGAAAGAGGCATCTCCGGTAGGTTCGTTCTATTAATAACGTTTCATTGGGCAGCAGAATCCGAATCTCACCTATCACATTCACAGACGATGACTTTCAAGGAGTGGATCCGGTATAGGATGATCCCATGGTCATTAGTGTAGACATTCTTAATTGCACTATCTGGAAAACACTAATTGACTAGGGGAGCTCGACTGACATTCTGTATTGGAATACGTTTAAACAATTAGGCATCCCAGAAGAAAAGCTCAGAGAATATCATGAACCGCTAGTGGGTTTCTCTGGGGAACGAGTGGAGACTCGGGGCTGTATTGATCTGTATACCTCATTCGGGTCAGAGCACGAGGGAAAACGTATAAAAGTCACTTATCTTGTAGTGCATGCGAACACTTCCTATAATATACTACTCGACAGACCATCCCTAAATAAATTGAAGGCCATAGTATCTACTCCGCACTTGGCCATGAAGTTTCCGTCTGAAAGGGGCTGAATCGTTACAGTCCACGCTGACCAGAAGACAGCTAGGGAATGATACTTTGCAAGCCTACGTCTTAAGCTTTTCTATGGGAATAGCCGAGATGTCAACATTGTATCCCCTCGGTTGGGAGAGGAGTTGGATTTTGAACTTGATCCTAGAATGGATGAGGGGTATCGGGTTGAGCCCAATGAAAACAAGCAGCCTTTCCAACTTGGACTGAAGCCTGAACAGGTTACTTATTTGGGAGTCAGTTTGTCTATACAAGAGAGGCAAGCCTTTCAGAAAATACTGCAACATAATGCCGATTTGTTTGCCTGGTCAGCTTTGGATATGCCCGGCATAGACCCTGCATTTATCTATCATCACCTATCGGTTTATAAGGGGGCCAAACCGATAGCACAAAAGAAAAAGAAGATTGGCGGAGACAGAGCAAAAGCAGTAGAGGAGGAAACTAATAAATTGCTACAAGCCGGCTTCATCCAAGAGGTCAGATACTCCACCTGGTTAGCCAATGTCGTCATGGTTAAAAAAATCCAATGGGAAATGGCGAATGTGCACAGATTTTACTGACCTTAATAAAGCATGCCCAAAAGACGCATATCCACTGCCAAACATTGATACCTTAGTGGACGGTGCAGCAGGCCACAAGGTACTTAGCTTTTTGGATGCTTATTCTGGCTACAATCAGATTTGAATGTATCCTCCAGATGAAGATAAGACGACATTCATTACAAATTCGGCAAATTTTTGTTTTCAGGTAATGCCATTCAGCTTGAAGAATGCAGGGGCAACATACCAGAGACTTATGAATAAAATTTTTGAAAATCAAGTGGGTAAATGCCTGGAGGTATATGTTGATGACATGGTGGTTAAGTCCACAGTATTGGAATAACATCTTGCCCATTTGGGGGAGGTGTTCAGGGAGGCCAGGAAGCATGGTATGCGGTTCAACTCCGAGAAGTGCACATTCGGTGTAGTCGGGGGCAAGTTTTTGGGATTTATGTTATCTGAAAGGGAAATCCAGGCCAATCCTGACAAATGCCAAGCCATCATTGAAATGGTCAACTCTCGGAATGTCAAAGAAGTTCAGCGACTTGCCAGTCGGATTGCAGCCCTCGCTAGATTTTTACTAATAATGGCAGAAAGGTCTCGGCCTTTCATCAAACTGCTAAAAAAATCTCAAAAATTTGCTTGGTCCAACGAGTGTAAGGCCGCTTTTGTCCAATACAAGCATATGCTAGCAACACCACCTGTGTTGACAAAACCGAAGCCTGAACAAGAGATGATTGTTTATTTGGCCATATCAGATAACGTCATCAGTTCGGTTTTACTACAGGAAATACCTGAATCGGCTCCTGTATATTTCATCAGTCGAACACTCCAAGGTCCTGAATCCCGCTACCAGTTGATGGAAAAAGTAGTACTGGCCCTACTCCATACAGCTCGTCGGTTAAGACATTATCTCCAAAGCCATCGGGTGGTTGTGCGCACAGATTGTCCAATGGCCAAAATTTTGAGAAAACTAGAGTTGGCCAATCGGTTGGTAGCGTGGACAATTGAGCTTTATCAATTTGATATCCACTTTGAAAACCGACACCCTCTTAAAGCTCAGATGCTAGCGGACTTCGTTAATAAGTTCACAACACAAAGACAAATCACTTCAGATATGTGGAACCTGCACGTTGACGAATCATCAAACCGACTAGGCAGTGGAGCAGGAGTTATACTTGAAGGGTCGAACACAGTCACCATTGAACAATCCATTCGGTTCGGATTCAAGGCGTCCAAAAATCAAGCTAAATATGAGGCTTTACTTGCTGGTCTTAGATTAGCAAAGGAGATAGGAGTTAAATGCATTACTGACTGGAGTGACTCAAAAATAGTGGCTGAATAGGTTAATGATACATATCAGGTTAAGGACTCGGTTATGCTCCAATATTATCAAGAATTTAAAAGAATAAAAGATGAATTTGATGAGATATGTGTTCGGCACACATCAAGAAACATGAATGAACGAGCCAATAGGCTTGCTAGGCTGGCTAGCCAAAGGAAACCTGGGCAATTGCAAAGCGTGATTCATCAGGAAATCCTCCAACCCAGCATCACCAAACAAGAGTGCATGGACATAGAAAATACGCCTCAAAATTGGATGACCTCAATCATCCAATACCTTACCAGCAACAGCTTACCAAAGGATCCAGTTTCGGCTAAGAAAATAAGAATGCATGCAGCTAAATACCTCCTCCTCAGCAAAGACTTGTACAGAAGAGGGATTTTAACACCTATGCTTAAATGTCTTGACGATGACCAAGCTAGCTATGTCATGAGGGAGATTCACGAAGGTATCTGTGGTACCCATTCGGGTGAACGAACCATGGCAGCAAAAATACTCAGAGCTGGGTACTATTGGCCGACACTCGCCCAAGATTGCCACGTGTTTGTAAGGAAATGCATCCCCTATCAACAACACGGTCCTCACCTACACCAACATGCCGACATCCTCCGCCCTATTAGCTCTCCTTGGCCCTTTTCTATTTGGGGTATGGACCTCATCGGCCCTTTCCCCTTAGCAAAATGATAATTTAAATTCCTCATTGTCGCCGTAGATTACTTCACTAAGTGGATTGAAACCGAGCCCCTTGCTACCATCACGGCTAATAATGTTCAAAAGTTCACTTGGAAAAACATCATCACACGTTTTGGTCTCCCTCATACGTTGGTTACAGATAATGGGCTGCAATTTACAGATTGACGGTTCAACGAATTTTTAGAAGGGCTTCACATCAAACACAGGGTCACGTCCGTCGAACATCCTCAAACTAATGGCCAAGTCGAGGCTGCAAACAAAGTCATCTTACGCGAGTTAAAAAGAAGGTTAGGGTCGGTAAAAGGAGAATGAGCAGAGAAGCTACCCGAAGTACTATGGGCTTATCGATGCACACCGCAAACCACCACAAAGGAGACTCCTTTTCGACTTACCTATGGTACTGATGCCATGGTGCTGGTCGAGATTGGAGAACCTTCATTTCAAAGGGAGAACTTTGAGGATTCGACCAATAACGAATCTCTAGCCGTCAACTTAGATTTGATAAATGAAGTACGTGGCCAAGTAACAATTATGACCGAGGCTAGCAGAAGGATGATGGCAAGGAAGTTCAACTCCAAAATTAACCCAAGACAATTTTATGAGAATGACCTAGTATGGCGAGTAACTGGAGATGCACGACGAGATCGACGAGAAGGGAAGTTGGCGCTAAATTTAAAACCCTCAGTACTCCCATTTGGAAGTCGTCAAAAGGTAACTTTATTCCTAGTTCCCTAAAATATACTTGTACACAAAGAAGGTATCGGTCATCCCAGCACTTCCTAGAAAAACAAATTCAGGGTTCTCGGTTCCATCTCGGCAAGGATCAATGGATATAGGTAGGGATCGGAAGGTTCCCATAATGAAATTTCACAATGGTCCACGAAAGATTGAAGACTCCTATTTTTTTTAAACCGAGATAAGTAGGCGACCACTTCACCGTGTACCCACTCGTACCTATGAATTGGACAGGGAGGAAATACTGGTCTTTCCCTAGGAGGGCTCGTGCTCGGTAGGAGCTCAGCAGAATCAGAATCAGTTGACTCAGATGATTCGTCTTTGACGCTACATTCTCTAGCGTCGGTCTCCACTTCTTCATTCACCTCACTCGGTCTTGAAGAGAATTCAACCCCCCATTTGGTTCTCTTAACATTAGGACCATTGACACTAGTCGGCCTAGATGAATCCGACAACGAGTCCTCCCATTTTAAGGATCCAGCTATGATTAAAATAAGAAAAGGAAAAGAAAACAAAGCGTACCTCACAAGTAGTCGGTTTGGAAGACAGAAATTTGAGTACCCTTCGGTTTGAAACAACAATGTATACTATTTGGCTCAGAGAAAAAGTAGAGAACAAAAGACTTGGACCACCAGATACTTATAGGAGATAAGCGGTCGGACATGCGAAGGGTCACCTCCCTTCTGAAACATTAGATCTTTTCCAGATCAACGGTTAAGAGAGGGCACCCCTTCTTCTTGCGCACACACATCGAGAAAATCCTAAAAACCTTGAAGTTCTAGAATGATTTTTTATTTATTTATTATTTATTTTTCAATCTACACCACTTTTTTGAAAAACCGAATGCCCTTTAATATGCACTCCGACCCACCAAATAAGATTTCAAATACTTTAACCAAATACCCTATTCGGCTTGCTTGCATTTGTTCAAACTGAATACCCCCTCGGTATTCCTGTTCACCATCTAAACTCAATATCCCCCTTGGTATTCTTGCCCTCTCAACAAACCGAGTACCTCCTCATCTACGTGTTTGATGTCTATTTTTGAAGCCCTTACCTCGTACTTCTTTGGGCTTGAGGGCTAGTGTACTGGATAGGAAACTGCTCGGTCCCATATTTAGAAAAAGTAAACTGAATATCTATTCGGCCTAGTTTGGCCGGATACTTAGTTATCAAGATTACGAGATAATTGACTCGATTAAGAATAATAATTAGAGTATTATCAACGTTAACTAAAAGGCCAAAATCAAGGCTGACTCAGTAAGCCCATTAGTCTGTAATAATGCCTATAAAAGAAAGGTAGGAAGTACAGGTAAATGGTTGACTTTCATTATTAAATAACATTTATTGCTTAGAACTGAATCCTGACTTAATCATCGGAGTGTCTTTTGCAAGTACCTTCTCCACGTCAGCAACAGCCAGAGAGACGTCATCATTGCAGATTAAAGACTTGAAGATTAGTGTTTTCTAAGCAGGAACACCCCTCAAAATGGTTAGGAAGCTCTTGCAGTGGCAATAACACAATTTTTTTTCTAAAGAAAAAGACGAAGCATAGGAAAGGAAGAAATTGAAGACTTGTTAAATTTTAAAATTTCAAGAAGGAAGCATTAAGATAAACTATTTTTTAATATCTTAACATAATATTATTTTACATTAAAAAAACTCAAACATGTCACAAATTTTCATTATATTATCTTATTTTAACTTTTTTATAACAATTGTTGAAATAATTAATGGTTTTTATTTAAATATTAACATTTAAAATTATGAACATAAGAGACTAATTTGTGCCACGTAACAGAGACTAAAGCAAAAATTTACCTTTTTTTTTCTTTAATTTCATTCATAAGAAACAAAGTTCGAGGGTGTAAATGCTTCTTTTTTATATACGCATTTTAAGGATAAACAAATCTTTTCCTACACTCGAGACCTTTTAAGAGAAAATAAAATTATAACAGCTAAAAATGATAAATACATTAAGTAGCGTGGAAAAAATATATAAACAATTAAACATACGATAGATGAAAATCTTACGGGGTGTAAAATTAGAGTTGGATTCGGATGCTTGACAAATAATCAACTGAACTGAGAAAGGGAATGTGAATGCACTTTGCAAAGTTTGAAGTTTGAAGTTTGAAGTTTGAACACAAAGTTGACTAACATATCGTGAATTGCATGACTAAACGTCACGGCATGGTCATACATATGGAAGATCGCATATCTTTATTAAATATTATTTATTGCACGCAGTTGCTTCTGCACCAGTTTTCATTTTCATTGGATTAGCTCAAAGGATTTTTACTTAATTAAACGTTTGATTTTTTTAAAAGTTTCATAATTTAAATGTAATTTTTACGATTTTTTTTATTAAAATATAATATGTACTTCTTTATAATAATATTTTTTTAATTGATGTTGTTTATTAAAATATTGCAAAATTTCAAATTTTAATTGTTTTTAAAAAATGTAGACATTATGTATTAAAAAAAATTCATTTTTTATCTTCCTTTCATTTGTACTTTTCAAGTTTAAAATGTCTTGTTTTATTCATTCAACTCTTCGCTTATTACGTGGACCGACTTTGCATTTTCATGGGTTTCACTTCGGTCCTTATCCCTATAATTAATCAGTTCCATTGTTATTAACGAAAATCCTTTTAACTTATTTTTTAAATATACTTTTTATTATAGATTATTTAAAAAATTTACGTCTCACATGCTTAATTTAATAACTTTTTCTTATAGTTTTATAAATTTTAATCAATAAAAAATATATTTAAATATCTTTAAAAAGTTATTCTTAGCAATCGTCTTATTAATATTACCAATACTTCCATATCTCCCCGTCCTTACACGCGGGTTCCAACGCGGTTTTTTCCTTGTCTTAACTCCCATTCTTCTCACCCTTCATTTTCTTAGCTCCATTCTTCATTTCATTTTCGTATATAATTTAATTGCTTCGTTTGTTTCCATTTTTATCTTGCTAAAGTGTTTCTGTTTCTGGGGAAATTCAGTAGTTTGATGATCAGAAAATGAAGTGTTTCTTCTTCAAACAAAGATCAAAATTGGACCCAGAATTACAAAAGCGTAGCAAGAAGAAAAATCAAGTTTTGAACCGAGCATCTAAGTCCATCAGCTCGCTACCATCGCCAAGGAGCATTAAGGAATTGTATAAAGAGAAAGAACATAATTTTAGAGTTTTTACCCTGCAAGAGCTCGTAGATGCAACAAATGGTTTCAATAGGATGCTAAAGATTGGAGAAGGTGGTTTTGGGAAAGTATACAGAGGAACAATTAATCCTTATCCTGAAGATGGACATGCTGATCCCATTGTGGTTGCAATTAAAAAACTTAACACGCGTGGCTTACAGGTATAGTATACATACCCTTTCTCTAACTTTGTTCCTTGTGATTGTTTTTTTATACATAGTTTGTGGACTTGCTAATCATGTCAACTCTTGCACTTTACAATTGGAAAATATTTGATAAACTTCTCTTGTATGTAAACACAATAAAAGGTAGACAAGAGGACAGAGTGATGTAAAATAATAAGAGTTATATTATTTCATAATAAATTAGTTTATGTAACAACAATTTTTTTTTATCTTGCTTCATCAGAATGTTTATCTTATTACTTTTTTAATTCTTCTGTTTATATGTAAACTAAGTTAAAAAAAAAATTGTACAAAATTTTTGTATAAGTATAAATTTTCTAAACAAAAAGATATAGAGAGAGATGAGAAATGTGGGACGAGTGATTATATTGTTAGGGTGTCTCTAAGTCAAAATTGTTTACAATTTTATGTACACTCTAATGTTTGTCTTATTTCTCTCTTGTAAAGGGGCATAAAGAATGGCTTGCTGAAGTTCAATTTCTTAGCGTTGTTAACCACCCGAATTTGGTTAAGCTTTTGGGATACTGCTCTGTGGATAGTGAAAGAGGAATCCAACGGCTGTTGGTGTACGAGTTCATGCCCAATAGGAGTCTGGAAGATCATCTTTTCAGTCATTCTTTGCCTCACTTGCCTTGGAAAACAAGGTTGCAGATAATGCTTGGTTCTGCTCAAGGATTACAGTATCTACATGAGGGATTGGAAGTTCAGGTACCTCGTATTTGCCAAATCCTTGGCAATTGTTGACCATATCGATTAGCTTAGGTGCAGGCTAATTTTTATTATTTTCCTTTGTAGATTAAATAAACAATATTCAATTGCTGCTGTCATAGTAGAGCTAAAGAAATGCATGCTAGGAATGTATGTTGACCTTCTAATATACTTATAACCCAATTTGCCGGATGGGAAGAATAAAATGTAAATCAAAAGCATATAATAATGATTTAGATGATGCTGAGTATTGACAATGTGAATTAGATATTCGGTGACCTATTTAGGTTTATAATGTTTTTTCTTTTTTATTGGGAAGGTGATCTACCGAGATTTCAAATCTTCAAACGTGCTATTGGACACGAAATTCCATCCCAAGCTTTCAGATTTTGGTCTTGCTAGGGAAGGTCCAACGGGTGATCAGACCCATGTATCTACTGCGGTAAGTAAGCGGATGGTGGAATAGAAATATCTATTGAATAATATTGACCTTCCATATGTTAATATTATGCACAGTCCCAAATACTAGTTTTGGTCACAATTATCATTTTAAAACAAAATAAACATCTTATTTGATCAATGTGTATACACCAACAACTCTTTTGTTATCAGGTAGTTGGGACACAAGGATATGCTGCTCCAGAGTATGTTGAAACGGGTCATCTCAAAATTCAGAGTGACATTTGGACTTTTGGTGTGGTACTTTACGAGATCCTCACAGGAAGGAGGGTATTGGATAAAAACCGTCCAACAGGGGAACAAAAGCTTATAGAATGGGTTAAAAAATACCCTGCTGAAAGTAGCAGATTCAGCATGATCATGGACCCACGGCTCAAGAACCAATATTCTCTTGGTGCAGCTCGAAGCATAGCCAAATTGGCAGATAGCTGCTTGAAGAAGAATCCTGATGAAAGGCCATCCATGAGTCAGATAGTTGAAAGCTTGAAACTAGCATTGCAGTTTTCAGAAACCTCAAACACTTGGCAGAATATGAATCCTAAATTGGTCCCAAAAGGTAAATAGAAGGAGTTAAGGAATGACTTTGTAGTACCAACCACTGGTCAACCTTGGAATTCAGAGTTATGAGCATTTTCGCGTTTCTACGGTTCTGAATGTAGCTTCCTGGTTGGTTAGTTAGTTCGGTTCAGCGCCACAACACCAAGTCCTGTTATGTCTTACCTTATCAACACTGGCTTTTTGTGCAAAATTAATCAATCCCGAACTTCGTTCATATGAACCATGTGGCATGCGCGATACGTATGACCATGCTCTGAACTGAATGGTGTCGAAATCTCTGCTGATTTAAGTTAAAAGTATTTTAAAGAAAAATGGAGAATATTTTAATTTCTTTGCTGAAACTATTTGACAAATTAGAAAGCAACTATTGAAAAAGTCTATTTCCTATTGAATTTTACCACCTAATCTCTAAAAAACGATGGAAATTGTGCTGCAGTTGACTAGGAATTCTTTCAGAGCTGCCCAATTCATCCCTTTCAACCTCTTTATTCCCATATATTTGTCTGTCCCTTTTAGAAGTTTTAAGATTATATTAATTTTTTTATAAATTATATCCTTAAGTTAAAATAAACAAAATTAATTAATAAAAGAAGTAAAAATATAAAAAATAAATGATGGTTTCAATAAAAATGAAAAAAAATTAAATTTATTTATAATTTATGCATCAAAATTTTAAGGTAAAAGATAAAAATGAATATAAGAAATACTTCTTACTTTTTAAAGTATAATAAAGAGTCGACATTTAATTGAAAACTGTTTTTTGGTCAAGAAAGAGTGAACTTGTGAAAGTGCTCTGGCTGTCAAGTTTGATGAGAGAAGATAGTTTTCAGTAATAATAATAATACACTTTTTTTAGTCAACCAATATTTTTTGGTCAACCATTAGTCAGCTAAGTAGTACTCCTCGCTTGACCCAAAATAGAATACTGAGGCCTGTTGTACTGGGCCATAGCCAAAACATTGGAAACATATATTGTGGTCAAAATAATGGACTCAACAGTTTTCCTTCGACTTTATTTTTTCGGCAAATCTCACTTTACTAAGTGGGTAAACTGCATTAAAGATTTGTGATTAGGAGTTGAAATTGAAATGCTGAATCACTATCAGAATAATCAACCCCTTCATTAATCTCCTTAAAAAGTTTGAATTGCTCGTTTTTTCTAAATTCTAATGCACATTTTAAGGATCGAAACAAACAAATGACTACACGTGAATTGTGAAATACATAAACAGCACTTAATGGGTCTTTAACATGAAATAAAATAATATTTTCTTAACTATCTCGGGGTTTGACATAGAATATGCCATGTTCCTTGCGTATACCCATCATAATTCTATCTCCTTTCCCCCCATCTTTTTACTATCACTTATTTCTTTCTTCTATAAAAATTATGATGCTATTAATTCAACTATACAGTATACACAATGACCCCTCCACATGATGCTATATGTGTTCACAGTTCACACAAGAGTAACCTCTTGAACTCGCTGCTTCTGAATTCCTTTGATGTGGCCAACATAAAGATCAGTCCCATAAGAATCAGAATGTGGGAGCCTTTGTCTCCGACCACCTTGAGACATGGCTTTTACAAATTCCACTAAATGCCGCCAATTATCTCCTTCAAACAACCTCTTATTCATTCTAAGATAAGTGAATGCAGTTAATCCACAGCCAGAGTTACTAGTTGACACAACTTGAGCAAATGCACCTTCATCATATCTCTCCAATGCATTTTCTCCAGCAAGTTCTGCTCTTGCTGTCTTAGTTGCCATCTTCACTTGATGAACTAATCCTTCAGGGGAACAGTTAGCATGTTGAGGTTGCTCTCTGTCCCTCATTTCCATGCAGGTGAAGTTCAACACAACTCCATGTTTTGCCAACATTTGTGCTATTGGTAGATAACCATCACGAAATCGTGTGTTGTAGTAGCCTGCAGTTAGTTCAGCTGCATGTGACCTTGCTTTGTAATGCCAATGGATTCCAGCTACTTTGGCAGATAGTTTCACACCATGTGTTTGGAATATGCTTTTGGCTGACACAAGGATCCTCTCACCGTGTTGAATCAATTTGCTGGAGTACCAATCAAGGAAGAAGTGTCCATATTCAGTGCTCCATGTTCCTTCCCTTTTGAAAAATTCAGTATCTTCAGGATATTGGTTGTATTGACCTGAGTCATGGGGTCCACTTCTTCCCCAGTCTTTCTTCCCAATGGCCTCAGCTGATGCTTCCAAGGAAGCTTTCATATACTGTATGACAAACAAGTCCTTTTAGTAAACTCACAGGGAACAAAATAATTAAAAAAAAAATAGAAAAGAAAAGAAAAGAAAAGGAAATTGCATTTCTAGATATTTTGAAATTCTGTCACACATGTGAGATGTCTTTGTTATCATAAAGGTAGAGATTAAGGGTGTAACATTAGCATGCTTTTGCAGTTGCACTATTTTTGAAAAATAGTTCAAAATTTATGCCTGCTATTTTCTTCATACCTTGTCGTAGCACTGGAATTCTCCAATTCCAGGAAACCTCCAAGTTCCATTGCTTTCTGGATAAGATGGATATCTCAGCTCCCCACAAGGACCCATCCCCACTTGAATTTCCTGCAAATGAATTTAGTCTTAGGACTTCGTATCTGGCAACATATGCATCAATTCCTAGTTTACTATCAATAATGAGTACCCTCCCTTATTCCTCATATAACTACTTACTATTTACTACTAATATATATATGGTTGAAACTTTAAAGGTGAAAGGACTAATTTTAGTACCACGATTTGATAATTAGTCATCATACTGATAACTCTCAAAAATATCAATATACATGTGTGGTTGCTAACAAATTTAATAGGTTTACGCTACTGCTATCTCAAACATTTACCCCCGTTTCTTCCATACTCAGTCTACTAACCCCAAAATTGAAGCACAAGTTTTTGTACTACTTACTATGATAACACTACCCAAATAATCTCTGAATCTGTCACGGAAGCTCCTCATGTAATCGGAGTAAACTTGAAGGGGCGTCCTTCCTCGCAGAACTGGAATTGAATCACAGCCCAAGGAGATGTACTCAGGATTCCTCTTCCCTGATCTGTCTGTGTAAACCAGGTCAGGGTTCTTGCTGATTTCTTCCAGCACCCATGGAGGTAGAGGAATGCTAAAAAAGTGAAAAAAAATTGAAATTAGTCTTTTAAGTTCTTTTCTTTAGTCTAGCACAAATAAAAGTACAAAAGCAATTACCTATGCCATCATATTTTAGAAGCCACAACTATGCTTCATTTTATTCCCTATTGATATCTGACATTCTATGAAATGCTTCATATGTATGAAGATTTGTCTAAGTTATCCCCACCGAATAAATAACTTCATCTTCAGTGGATTGCTAAATTTAAGACATTATATTAGAAATTATATCAAATTTTATTTAGTTTTTATAAAGAAAATCTCATTAGTCTGCTTAAATAGGATAATAACCGTGAGCTAGATTATAAAATCTCATATATATGAAATCTCAGAGCAAGACTGTTTTTTTTTCCTTTCTGAACACCAAAATCAATCAAAGGGCAAAAAAAAAAAAAAAACACTAAAAATAACTTAAAATGAGTTCTCTCCCATACCTGCATGAGTCTCCAACATTCCCTCCACATTGATGGAAAGACATGACAACCTGAAGCTTCAAGCCATGCCTTTGTACCATCTTCACAAGTTCAGCATAGGCTTCCCAGTTATACTTCAAAGGACCCTCTTTTTCCACCAAACCCCACCAAGCATCCACCATTACTCCTTCCACTCCTGCACTCTTCAGAGCCATCAAACTAGCATTCATTGCTCTTGGCTTATTCAAATTCCCTCCCATTGTTACAGTGTCCAATGGCAACATCACAAACACGGGCACTCTCATAGAATCGTTGTGGCTATGAGAAACCGATGGTGCATGAACCGTTTCCCATTTCTCGTTTATCATCACTTCAGAGTTGAAATTGTTGTCCCGTGTGACATGTGCTTCTTGCGTGGAACTCTTTGCTCGGAGACGAAAATACGACTTAGTTTTTGCAAAGTGAACTTTGGTTAAAACTTCATCTTTTGCTTTTGGGACTTTGGTTTCTTTCTGATTAACGAAAGAAATTGAAGAACGAAGTGTTAGAGCCATTTTTACTAAGTATCTCTGTTTGCAGCTAAAGGTGGAGGAAGAATATATAGGAATTTCCGAATTTATTAAATTTCTAAAAATGATTTGCGTGTGTTTATTTTTTTATTAAAAAATGTAACTCTCTTTTGGGAATTGATGTTGAAAGCTTTGGTGGGTCCCAATTTGAAAAGTGCAAAAAATCAATACTACTTGGCTGTGCATGTGTATGACACTTGCTTACGTGTTTCCACCTCTTTCGTTCTTATCTAATCTTAACTAAAGTCATGTAGGATTCAGTTAATTACGGTTACTCTCCTAAACTAATATAATTGTAGAGCAAAGAAAATTTTACGTGGCTAAACTTAATGAGAATGACGTAATATTAATTGACACTGTCTTAAAATATTAGTTAAAGAATTTAAAATAAAAACTTTTATTAAGTACAGATATATTCTGCATATAATAGTAATATATAATAAAATTTTATTAAAAAATATATAATTCAATATATTAATACTATTAAGTATTATGATTTTTAATCTTTATTTTCTTTATTTTCTTTATCTACCAAAAATTGTTGTAACGTTTAATAAAAATTTATCATTTATTAATTTTTATTTTCCTTCTTATCTCCATTTTTCTGATAATTATCTAGCTGTCCATTTAGTTCAGTTAATTAGACTAAACTAAAGGTTAGTCAACAAGGTTCCTACTAAGTAAGATATAATTCACGAATTGAAAGCGAGTTAGATCAAAGTTCGATGGTAAAAAAAGATCAGCTTGAAGAATAAAACAATTATTTGCCTTAATGATTGCTTGTCTCCTTGAGTTTGATGAGCTAGAATGGATAATACAGATACAGCAAAAAAATTTACAAAGTTTCATCTGTAAACCGAATCAGGGAGATTCTCTGTATGGAACTTATAAACAGGGGAAAGGTTTTATACGCGGCACAAAGAAGAAAATGAAGGAAAATTTCTTGTGATGATAAGTGATGAATGGTTTGTATTGGTGGATTAAGACAAACCCTACCGAGTGATCAAGCTAGTAATCGATGTTTGATTTATGCCGCGACCTGCAAACTGGGTTTTCGTGGATGAAAATATCTCAAAATTTGAGTATTATTATTATTTTTATAACAATAGAATTAAATGTTCTATTGGTTGTGGTTTAATTTGCACATGATAAGAGAGGCTGAAGGTCCATTTTGGGCTGCAAAATCTGTGGCTCGGGGAAAGTCTTCGCTTTCATTAGTCTTGGACCGTTCTTCCAATTTTGGACTGAAAGAAAAATAAGAAAAACTGTTCAAATTTCCAAAATGTTTCTATTTTCTAATTCGATAATAATGTAATCTTAAAACCTCCATTAATAAGTTATTATATACTGTTGACATGAAATATTTAATATGACAACCTTATTTCTTCATTGTTGTCACTCTAGAAAAACTGTTTTTTTTTATTAAGTCTCTATATCCCATGTAAAATATTCAATGGGTTGGGAATGGTTTGAATCCTCTACAGTGATTTTTTAAAATTTTCAAAATTTATTATTGAATTCCTAAATTTTACTAAATAATACATTTTAATATATTTTAATGATTAGATTTAACTCGACAACTCTTTACGATAAGATTTTCACTCGAGAAATTTTCAACGTTCATGGGAAGATTTTTAAAAAATTAAAAATTTAAGCCACCAGCTCTGTTATATGCACTGTATGATACAATACATATTACTAAATCTCTCCTCTCCCCCACTTGTTCCATTTTTTTAATTAATTTCAACAATTATTAAACATATTTCCTACCTTTTGTCTATGGATGTGTTCTAAGAATGGATCAAATTGTTTAACAAATTCTCTGTATTCTTTAATTTTATTGTTAGGAAATCTCTTTTTTTTTTCTCCCAAATTATTTCTATTGAAGTCTCCCTAAGAATACTGGTGGAGAAAAAGTGTCAACTTTTAATAATTTGACTATGAAAATTTAACACTAAAAAACACTGAATTGAAAATTTAAACTGTGCAAATATCCTTTCTCGGCCATTTGGCTAAGATCAAGATCAATTGAAACTATGTAAATATATCGAAATTATAAGAATTTAAAAATTAATTTTACTTCTTTTATATTGGAATGAGAAGATTATATATAGTCATTAAATATTTATGATGAATAGAAGTTATAAAATATTTAGTAATTGATATTATATTTGGTAAAGATAGCTTGTAAGAGACTTAAGTTTGAAAGAAGTTTATAGATTTTGAAAACTGTCTCTTTAAAAGCTAATTAAAATAGCATTTAACTTCTAAAAGTAATAACTTTTTTATTACATTTTTATTATTTATTTAATAAAAAATAACTTACCATTTTATTATTAAAACCTGATTATATATATATATATATATATATTAATTTTATTATCTTAGGTTCTTTTTACTTTTATAATGTTTCATTTTTTTTATTATTTACTTTTATGTCTCTTTGTTTTAAATGTATTTTATATTAAAAAATACAGCTTAACATTATATTAATATTATATTAATATAATATTATCTATTTTTAAATTATTTATTATAAATTAAATAATTTATTAAAATATTTTAATTTTATAAGTTCCTTATACAATTATAAATTTTAAGTTACAAATTAACAACTTTTAATTAGTTACATACTTAAAAATTATAAACTCACAACTTTTCATTGGTTTTATCTTACTTTCACCATACTTATTAATAAATAAAATAGTTATATAAATTAATAATACACTTAAAGCATATTTGTTTGTATTTAAAAAAAAATCTTTTTTTTTTAAATTCTATTTAAAAGCGCAAACAAACATGCTCTTAATTTGATGCGCTTGGCTTTTATGATTAGATTTGTACAACTTTTTTTTTTCTTATACGTATCAAAATGTTAAGAACCCAATTTATTAGTTTACGGGAAGAAAATCAATCATGTTATATCAGATAACGCATTATCACAAGTCCGATTTTTTAAGTATACCAAATTATTGACTACGCTTAAAGAATAACCTTATAAATTATCCTTAGGCAAATGCAAAGTTAAAGATATAAAGCAATTTTTTTATTAAAAAGGTAATTATTATATTAACATATAAATTGATTTAATATTTACTTTAAAATTTTAATAAATATATTAAATACTCCTTAATCAGTATTTTTATGACACTTCTTAACCTAACTCATAAAATTATTTAGATATTAATATGTTTTACTTTTATATAGTATTACGTAAATACTTAATGTGTTTTTGGGTAAGTATTATTTACTGAGAATATTGCTTCTCCCACTTATGCTGAAAGAAGCATGCCATCATGATCTTTGACCATTGCACGGTACAATCAAGGAGTGATCGTCCGTTAGTTTTTGGGTGGGTTCGAATCTAAAATTAACTAATTATATTTAATTGAATTGTTTAGAACAATATCTAATTTTATTCAATTTTTTATCAGATAGTTCAGATTTAGATCCATCGAGTAACTCAATTAATCGGATGGTTAATTTGGTTAAGTCTTATGCTAGAAAGAAAGAAACCGTGGTTCGTGATAACAAAAAAGAGAGATAGAAAAGAGAAAAAATTTCAAACCTTAACAGAGTTCAAAGATAGCAAACAAAAGATCGGTGTCGCATAGACTAAAGAAATAAGAGAAAGATATGTTGTAGTATCAATTAAAATCTAATGACCTAATAACGGAACTGGGCTTGACCCAAATTAAATATTCATATTACATGTATATTTGGTATATTAAACATTCACGGATTCAGAAATGAGGGAAAGATATGTTGCAATATCAATTAAAACCTAATGACCCAATAACAGAACTGGACTTGGCCTAAATTAAATATTCATATCACATGCATATTTGGTAAATTAAACTTTCACGAATTCACACACACACACACACACACACACACACACACACATATATATATATATATATATATATATATATATATGATACCAGATTACCCGAAGTGGATCAAGGGAACAAAAAGATGGAAAGGAAAGTAGGCAGTAGCAGAACTACAAAATGATATGCAAAAATTAAAGTCGCAGTATGTAAAATCAACAATTAAAACATAAGAAACTAGAACGGCGGTATAACCAGCACAGATCTAGTAAGGGGGAAAGAGAAGAAAGTCGAACGACGGTAGTCCGAACAGAACCAGCTAAGAGGGAGAAGAGAGAAAAATAATTTGAAACAGCAAACTTTTATTGAAAGATCTCAAAGAAGAAGGCTTACAAGGGATTATTTCTCTCAGAGCTTCTCTCTCTAAATCTCTCTTAACTTGCTAAATGAAAGGGTACCTCACAATATAGTCGAGGCCTCCTTATATAGGAAAATAAAACACTGTTTGTATAGTTCCGGTAAATAACAGGAACTATTTGTACAGAGACGGTCATAATTCTGTTATGTCTATTCCATAACAGTCATCTTCATTTTGATAAAAGTCGTCATCTTTGTTGGGATTAGACTCTTGTTTGGTAGAAGTTTCGGCTTCATCTTGATTTAATAGAAGAAGGACTTCTTTTAAGTTTTTCTTCATTTTATCTTTAAAATCACATCCTGATAGAAATGCGGCAATTTTTGCCTTTTGATTCAGAAATTGAAAAGTTGCAGGATCAGCCAGTTTCAAGAGTTTTGGATTATTTCCAAAGAACTCATTAACTCCTTGTGGTCTAGCATGTTCTGCATTGAATTGATTCCACCATTTCACAAAAGCATGTCTGTAAATCATTGGCAGGATATCATCTTCTTCAGTTTTGCTATACCTGTACTGCCATGAGAATACCCAGACCATTACAAAGGCAGAGAAATACTTGAGATCTGCTCCAATTCTGTTAGGGGCATATCTGGTCTTGATTATTTCAAATCCTTCTTTTACTGGAGAGGGAAGGATTGCTTCTAATGGTCCAAAGAAGTCTCACCATTGAAGGAACTAGTTAGGGAAATTGTAATTTTGATTTTTCTTAAAATAGATCAACCAAGAGTGACAGTTGAGTTTGTTCTGGAACCAGAAAGTCCTTGTCCAGGCATCAATGTAGTCCCAGTAATTGTATCCTACCGGATCAAAAGGTTGGGAGAATTTCTTAAATGTATTTGGATTGTTTCCAAAATTTTTTGGTGACAAGATT